AGCCAAGGTGGAAGTAAGTGCACATAACTTAAATGTTTTTCAAGACGCTCATCTATCGCTCTAACGATCACAATTTTCCAAAATAATCAAACTAAAGTGTAAATGCTAAGTAAACCTGATACGGAGCATTTGAAAGCTTCTTTGATTTATAACTTTTCTTATATACACACAAAAGAAGTGAGGCAAAGTTTTACGTGCAAGCATGAGCAGACTTTAAAATATCCAAAAAAATTCTTGTGGTTTTGTTTGAATATTCGTGTTGCTTGGACCTACAATCTTTTAGTCTCTCCCCAAACTACAAGCTAACAATCTGTTCTTCCTGAAGTCCGCTACGTGAAACAAAATTATTAAGATTTGTTCCTATAAATGAAGAAATCATCCTTTTTTGATGAGGTTTTTATTTCGATAAGTCTTCATTGAAAACTAATGTTGCTCAAGAAGAACTGTCAACCCCAAAAAATTCTAGTGTAGCAAAAAGAAAAACCCTAACGAACTTCCCACCCCACACATTCGTATTTTGATGTAATTGGAAGTTGTCTTTGTTCATTCAAATGTATTATATGAAACAGGAAATTTTACCTAAATAGCAAGTAAAGTGATTTTCATTATAGAGTCGTTCCAGACATTAAATTCCTCAATAGTGTTTGAACATGTTCTGTACTAATTCGTGGAACTCCTCATTCACTGGGTTGTGCATTACTTTAGGTGGGAACTCTCAGTAAAATAGCCAAATCCGTAAGAGGATAAACTTGTGAATGAAGGATTGAAATATTAAAAAGTATAGCAAAGTTATCTGAAACAGCGCATGGCAAACGTGCTAATATCTACTTGTAGTAGTACTACTACCTATCCTATCTACTATTCGTAGTGCTCATTGCTGTTTGCATTTTTCAACGCATGTAGGTAGATGGAGTTGGACGTACGAGGCCGAATTTTGCGCTGGATAAGCAGTCCCAAGGTTACGGCGACCCTTCATCTTATATGTCGCAATCAAGTAAGTCTTTTGAAGGTTCAAGTTCGAC